GGACAAAAAAATCAATAATTTGCTAGCATAAATGAATTAAAAATGATAAAATTTTCAGTGTTGCTACCATTATTACCATCACTGCTGTTATCGATTATATTTTTGTTTATTTGTTTTTTTTTTTTATTCACTGAAGAAAAATAACTGAAGGCAACCAGACAAATGTCAAAAAAGGTCACATATGTTATGTTATAAATGAATGCTATTGAGGTCAACTGAATTTTTCTTCATTGAGTGAGTTAAGTGAAGTGATTAGAAGAGGTCAAGCCAATCTGTTGATTAATTAAAAGAAATCATTTAACTTAAAAAAATTAAAAAAAAGGATGAACTTAAGAAAAAAGAAAGAAAACAATAACTTGAAGAAGATAAGAAAATATTTGAAATATGATAAAAGAAGCAAGTAAAACATTAAAGAACAGCATGAAAAATTGAAAATTTTCAACTTGCTATAACTATTTCACTTCAAATCAGCAAAAAAAAAATTAATGAAATACATTCCTTTTTTAAAAAAAAAAATATTTTAAAAATGAAAATTTGGAGTTAAAAAAAAATCTGATGTTAAAAATGTTGAATAATTGTGCAATAAGTTGAAAATAATCGAAAGCAAAATAAATTATAAAATAAAATAAATACGTTTATTTCTGAAAATGCTCATTTTTATCCATTTAGTCTTTTTCATTATTTCGAGGACTAATTTAAGGTAAGTAAGAAAAAATTATTACAAAAAAGAAACCTAAAATAAAAAAAATAGTTTATATTCCTAAAAATATATATCGTATTACTTTTACTTTATGCCTAGTGCTCACATGCTTTTTATTTTCTCTTCCTCTTTTTTTAAAAAAAAAAAGAAGAAAAATAACAATCAATTTAAAGAAAGTAAACAAGCCGATATGATAAAAAGAAATGAAAGAGAAAAGAAGAAGAGGAGAAATTAAACTGTAATCAAAATGAAAAAATGTTTAAACAAGATTTATAATATTTCCGTTGAAAGTTTCAAAAAGTTTTTAGAAAACAAGAAGAAAAGCAAAAAAAAAATTTTTTTTTTGTTACTTAAAAGAAATAAACTGAAAAAATTGCAAAAAACTTTAAACATTTAGAAATTTTATTATTATTACTACCATTATGATATCAATATCATTGTCACTATTCCATTTATTATTACTATTATTATTATTATCATTGTTATTACTATTGTTATTATTGCTTATTGCTGTTATTATTATGCTATTTTTTAATTACTATTATTGTATCATGCCTTTTTTATTTCAACATATTTTTGAACTTTTTCTGACAATTCTGCTTTTTCTTTTGCTCTCTTTCTCTTTATAATTAATCAAAATTTAATTGAATGATGATGCACGCTACTGATCTAAATTGATTCAGTTTTAAGCATAAGCTTATTTAATGAAAACATTTATACTTATCAAAATTAGTTGTTTTCATCAAATTACTTTCGCATTAAATTATTTCGTATCATTTACCGCTTATGAATAATATCCAATTAATAATTATGGCATTTCATTCTGCTGTTTTTCATCAAAATAAATGATATATGTAAAAAGGAAGAGAGAAAAAAATTCGACAGTTTTTTCTATTTCAGGAAAATTTATGTCTAAGATTAAATCAATTCAGTTCAACTGAATGCAGTATAATTCTATTAAAATTTAATTAATTACAAAAAGAAGAAATGCAAGGAGATTTTCGAAAATATATTCTCACAAAACAAAAGAAAGATTTACAAATTTCTAATTTTTTGCTTCTTCTTGTTTTGCAAACGATCAAATAATATAAATTCTTAAATAATTAAAAATTGTTGAATAAATTTGCAAAAAGAAAAAAAAAATTGAAAATGATAAATTCATGTGGCGCATCAACATTGTTATCACATGAAATACGCCAAAAATGCCATGTGAAATGGAATGACATCTTTTAGTGAAAAAGAAATTGTCATATTGAAACAAATTTCAATTGTTATTTACTAGATGAAATCAACCGATCATTTTCCACTTTCTGCTTTTCATTCCCGACAACAACAACAACAACTTTCTGCAGTGTCGCACATTTATCAGCTTATTAATCTTTTTTTTTCATTTTTTTTTTTATAAATTTTTCCCAGATGAAATGACAATCACAGACAGACAGAGACAGACAGATAGATCGATATGTCCGTATGTCGGCATCTTTGTAATTTTATTGATATATTGATTCGATGAAAGAAGAACTCAAAATATTTGTGGCAAAAAGTTTTTTTTTTTTTTCACAGATATGGATTTTATAACTGATTATTTCTATTATGTCAACAAATACAATCATTACTTTAGAATTATTTTATAATTCATCAAATTTGATAATTAATTATTGAAATAATCATTTCTTAGATAATATTATATTATATTATATTATATTATATTATGTTAACACAATGTTTTTTGGAAAACAAAGAAAGAACAAATTATTGAAATTATTGCAAAAATGATGCAGAAAGAGATGAATTTATTCATTATATGTGATAATAATTGTAGCACAAAATTAAGTTATTATTAATACAAATTATTAAATAGTATAAAATTAAAATATTTTATAATAAGCATAACGAATGGATTAGTGATAATATTAATGTATTTAGGAAAGAAGAAAGATGACCAATGTGATGACCTGATATAGTGTAGTAATATCGTCAGAATCAGATATTTACGACGAAACAACAGAAATTACTAATTTGATGACCACTATGTATCACACTAATTCGTTTATATTTTCTCCTTCCAATATTTCTTATTCCTTTCATTCCCTTTTTATCACAAATATTTTACTATACAAATAATATTATTGGAAAGGAGAATACTTTTACTCTGCAAATAAAAATACCATAATAATAAACTAACATTTTAGAAAGGAAGAAAAAAAAAACATATAAAATAGCACGATGTTATCTACAGGAGAAAAAAGATTTGTTGACAATCACACATATCATTATACTGATAACAATGTTAATGACTAATGATAATAATTAGAATATGAGAGAGTAATTGTGAAACCCATATTCTAATAACAATCAGCTAATGCTTATTTACGTATGAATAATAAATCATAAAACATATAGATATCATATGAACAATGATAATATCACAAATCATTAATACCCACTCTAGACTATTATTATCTAATGAGCAACAAATTATATTTACAATTAAAGTTATTAATACCATTAATAGTCCATCTTAATTCATCAGTTATATATTAACAATATCAATAATTATTAGTCATCAATGCTATTATCATTAGTCATTAATATTGTTATCAGTATAATGATATATGTGTGATTGTCAACAAATCTTTTTTTTCCTATAGAAAACACTCAATATTTTACATGTTTTTTTTCTTCTTTTCCTAAATGTTAGTTTATTATTATGATATCTTTATTTGCAGAGTAAAAATAATTCTTCCTTCCAATAATATTATTTGCATAGTAAAATATTTGTGATAAAAAGGGAATGAAAGGAATAAGAAATATTCCCTCTGTTTTATTGATATCATTATACTACAAAAAAAGACAAACCTTGTAAATTTCCCTAAAAGACCTTTCATACGACTATTTTCTTTTCTATTTCCTTTTGTTCATTTTTTTTCCTTCATCTTTGATAAATTCAATCTTTTGGTATTTCTCTTCATTTGATTAATTATACGCCATCTTTCTCTTATCATTTGAACAATTATATGCCATTTCCTCTCATTATTTACTGATAACAGTGTAATAATTGATAGATAATCGAGATTTTAATCGAGAATGCATTAGCAATACTGAACCCTATCAGATATCCATCATATTTAAAATGTTTTACAAAACTTTGTTACAGAATAAAAATATGTCAGTCACAAACTCGTATTGTACTTTGTTAATGAAAAAAATAAAAATGGAAACCAATGCAAAAGTTGAAGGCAATAACAATAATGCAGTAATATAACAATTTTTTAATTGTATTTCTAATTTAAATGAAAAATAGAAACAAGAAAAAAAGGACGGAATTTCGTATTAGTTTAATTCAGTAATCCCTTACTTAATCAACTGATAAAATCTTTAAGTACTATTCCCAAAAATCTATTCCCAAATACTTCTATGAAATAAGATTTGCGAATAAATCTTCTTATATAATAAAAACAATAAAATGAATGATTAAATTATCACTATAAATAATCAAAAAAGAAAAAACAATCAAATGTTACAGGAATCAGGAATAAAAGAGAAAAATATTGCATATCTAAGAGAGAATTTTTGATGAATGAACTGCCAATAACCATAAAGAATGATAACTTTCTTCATTTCCCCCCCAATATTTACCGATGAACCTCTCATATATTATCAAAAGATAAAAGTTTATATGAAATTATACGCAACAATAATAATTTATAAGGTATGATAATAAACCTATCAACTCGCATATGAGAAAACAGTACGTAAATACCTCTAATAATGATGTTATCTTTATTTGCATCATTATCCACTTTTTTTAGTAAGTAAATTTTCTACGAGTATTTATAAGTGAAAAGTACATTAATGACAGCAATAGATCACTCTGATAGTTATGTAATAGTACGAAGAATATCAGTGAAAAAATTTACTACGATAAATCACTTCAATTAAATAGTAAAGGCAGAACAATAACAAAACAAGTACAATAAATAAAAGACAAATGATATAATTATGAAAAGAAAATTTCGATTCGAATCCGAATATCTTGCATAAATTTAATGATTTATCTGTGAGACTTTAGTGACTTGAAATGTATCATAAAAGTGTGCAAAAAAATACCACCTGTTGTAAATATAATTTGCATAAATACTACATAACAATGCATAACAAGTTCTACTCCATACTTCATAAAGCTGATGATGACAGTGAAACCATCATCAGCTTTAATAAAAATGTCCAATTTATAGAAAAGAAATATACAAAATATGATTCCTACTGAACAAATTTGTTAATCACAAGTTATCATTGCCTAATTAAAAATAGTTTTAGACAATGGGATTCGTTCATATATTGGTGAAAAGAACTTCCCCTCTGTGTCGGGCAAATCTTTATACCAAGGCAGTATTGGGAAAGATAAAATATGAAGATCATGAAGTTCGAACCGTCTCCTTTTTCGTGAATACCAATAACCAAAATTACCGAATATCATGTATGGTACATTGTATCGGTATTCATATGGCATAGCAATCTGATTTTTCGTTAATTTATACTTCTTATCAGCCTAAAATGCATTTGATACATTGAGCTTGAGAAGATAAAAAATTTAAATGCTGAATGAATTAAAAAAAATTAGTTCCATTAATATCTTTAATGGAATGAAAACTTACCACACGATACAGAATGTTTTTCTGATGTAATGCACAATACGTTATTGATAATGAATAAGTACTTGCAAAATGAACTCGGAAGAAATCCTGAATGGCACCTGTAAAAGTGGTATGTTTGAAAATGATTCGCATTCATTTAGATTTGAAAAAAGAAGCGAGTAACTTGAAGACACCTAATTCAAACATCTTCAATATAATTTAAATAGATATTAAATATACTAATACGTATATTAATTAACGAAATTGTTTAAAATTTTCAGAAAGCTATCTCAAGTTCTGGCCTGTTTGAATATAATTTCTCAGTGTTATAATAGCAAAATCTCCAGACTGAATCTCTTGGGAAACTGAAATACTCAGATATCAATTTCATTTCTACGCCTAAGATAGTCTGATATTTCCGTCTTTGCTATATCATAAGCTCGATATAACGCACAAACTTGATGAGTTTTTTAAATCATAAAAACATGATATCCTTTAAGATATCATTTAAAATCAATTCTGGAAACTGACCATAAAGACCTGGAGCAACAGTGACGATATCTTGTTCAGTGATATTTAGCACTTCACGCTTTTCGGCTTCAAATTGCTCTACTTTATGCATGTGTACCACAATAGGTTCAGCATTTTCATCACTTTCTATCAGCTTTTTCAAGTTACCCTAAAAATGATGGAATTTCAGAAAAATTATTAGAAAGATAATGCAAGTCAATCTCAACATATTAAAACTTACAGTGTAATATGTCTGACACACCAATTCGAACAACTTTCGAATTCTTTTTATCAGAAGATTTTGTTGCATATGATGAGCCATGTCTAACATAAGACCAATTTGTAGATTCGGTAATCTTTTCAACATTTCCAAATATTTTATAGTTAACTGAAAAGCAGTAAATTTCAAATTTACAACGATATACGTTAGCATTTTTCTAACAGTAATCAAAAGAAATTGAAATGCTCACATGAATTCGTGTAACGTCTCGTCTATTCCTGTAGCAATTAAATGCTCGCTCTATACACCACTCATTCTACAATAGTAAACTTAGAAAGCTAATTATTCCTCTGAAAATCTTCAAATATTCAGTAAAATATTCTGTATTCTGTTTCTTTCTTCTAGAGAAAAAACATTAGAAGTTCGCAACAATTTACCGGAGCCCAAGGAAGCGAATATAGATTCCCAATTACCAATATATCCTCTTCAACTCTCTCCTGTGGCGGTGGTTTCAATCTTGCCCTAAAAATAAACGAAAATTAACTTATCGATGAGTTAGAAGAAAAATATTTGACTTAAAGGCATAATAATCAGCATCTTCACTACTTATTTCAAACCACAAAAATTTCTCTTCCAAATCAAAAAATAAACTCTAAAATAAAATTATTTCTTTTTACAAAATAATATGAACACTTTAATATTATTATATTTCTCCACATTTACTAACCATACTGTTTTAACAGCATTCATCTCTGAATCCCAGGCATAACATTCGCGACAAATTTTATCATATTCGTACTGGAATGACGCATCAAAATAATCATTTTCGATAAGAACCGGTAAGCGTGGTCGGAATACATATTTTGATCGTACCTCCTTTTCTTGCTCATCTTTCTTATTTTCATTTTGAAATCGTAACCGATCATTAATTGCATAGCTTGAACTATATGGACAGCAGTGCAGCATAGATCTCACATGCCTAAGCAAAGAACCTGAAAGGAACTAAAATTGTTTTAATAGCATTCTCTTCAAGTCATTTACTAAACTAACACTGAACACTTTGGTACCATAACATTTGTATTTTACTGATATTATAGTTTTATAGAAATTAAATTAATTTGTTTTAACGGATTAATTTGTTTTAAAAACCTAAAATTTTCAAATCAATCCACATTACATAATTGTTTTTCGAAACAATTCACATAAACTATTCCAACAATTTCTAGAAACACACCGAATATTCGAGCCCTACTTAATGTCATTTCTTCATCATAGATTGAAATCCACCTGAAGTAACCTGAAACACAAAATAATTAGAAGAAGGAATAACAAATGGTGACCCGTTGATTTTGAAAATCCAGATTTCTTGATTCCAAAAAAAAATCTAATAAAACATTATTCGATTAATTCAAATTCCTCAAAAATTTCGGCTGCCTAACAAAGCAATTGAACTTTGCAATAAGAATGAAAGAATTAGTCCACTGTTATATTAATGAGACAAATCTTCAACTATTTGTCAATACCAATGAAAAAAACTATGCCTGTGACACATAGAAGTTGAAAATTTAAGAAAAAGTTTTTCAAATACTGAAACACATATATATATATAATCATTTGAATAATAAATTAATCATTCAAGATAAAATACAAAATTGATTGATGCCAACTTCAACAAAAAAAGTGCAGGAGTGTTTTTTTTTATGCTTTAATGAAATACGGAAAATTTAAAACATACTAGGGACATTTTACCATTCCATCAAAAAAAACTCAAGAAATGTTCCTTTGCAAATAAACGCTTCGCATCCTGAACAATTATTAAAATATTTTTGAGAAAAAAAAAATGAAATAATCATTATTTAAATTTGATATTTGTAAAAGGAAATGTAAAAATATGTGAGCATTTACACATCTAAAACTGCCCAGAAAATGGAGTGGATATTAATAGCTATAAAGTGTATTTAAATACATAAGGATCAAAAAGGCTAGTTGAAAAAATTCATTGTATCTAAATGCATAGAAAATCACTTCTGTGTAACATAAAGTTAATGTTATAATTACTCCAAAGATATTTAAAGACAATCAGTTCCTCTAGTTTTTTACAAATCATACTGCTTATTCTAGCCACACGAACAACGGTAAAACTGTAGACCAATTAACAACCTTGCCATACTGACACTTTGATATGAAAACCAAATCCAATTTACAAAAGGAAAAATATCATGAAAACATTTCAGGAAACTGCTTTTTTGCTCTGAAATCTTTTTAATAATTTTGTAAAGTCACTTATTCATTTTTTCAACAAAGGTGAATACTAATCAGAGGTAAATTAACATTTGGATCAGATTTAAGAAGAATTTCACAGGAATAAAAAAAATATTTGAATGATAAGACTTTAGTGAACTACCAAGAAGATATCGTCTTCATCATGAAATAGGCAACAAAGGATAACAGAGCAACAAGTGCTGCAATGAGGAAATAATAATTTATCAACAGATGATTCCAAATGTACCCATTCCTCTAATTACCGTACAGCGCTATAAAAATACACCTAGGATATAAAATCCGAAACATATATTAATTTAACATTAATCTAGTTCAAGAGCAACATTTTAATAAGGATCACACTACTCCTACCTCACGTCTGGTTTACGTTGCTTACGCCCTAAGTAGCAATTAAGTAATTAAGTATGATCGTGTCAAAAAAGGAATCAATGCAAAAATAATAAGCGAAAAAATCATCATCACCATCATCATCATTACCATCCTTGTCATGACTACCATTATCAATCATCATTCATCATTATCATTACCATCCTTGTCATGATTATCATCATTATCAACCATCATCGATCTTCATCATCCTTGTCATGTTTATCATCATCACCATCATCAATTTTTCTTTTACCTGGGAGCACTAATCCTTCTTATAGATATACTACGGTCGATCTCTGATTATGACTTCGAATGGATTACACAGTCTCAACAAAGAAATAAATGAATGACATATATATTTGTTAGAGTTATCGATTCAATTTCTGTGCAGATCAATAACTAGGTTGAAATTGTCTATAAAAAATTATCTCAAAAGCATTTTATTGCAATCAGAAACTAATTGGGTTGTTAATATAGTGTTAGTTTAATGAATATAGTTCAATAAAATTTCAAATTCTGAGTGATTCGGAAACGTTTCAAATAATAGTTTAAGAAAAGCAAATGACATGAAAAGTAGTCCCTTAAAATTTGGGGGATTTCTAGCTGGCGTCATACTTGCAGGTTCTTCAAGAATGATTTTAACTTATAATAGTGTGATAGAGGTATGGAATCACTTTATAATAATTAAATGAATAATAACAGTTCTGAAATTTTTATTACTTGTGTTCTTCAAAAGGCTATCTCACCTAAGCAATTATTACTCCAAAACTTATGTAAGCCCATTGCTTATCTGTTTGTCTAGAAATTTTTAACTGTCAACAAAAAGTATGTGCATTAATATGTGGCTTGCAACGTTCAAATGTCGTAAAGGTTTTCTAGGCAAACAGTCATTCTAATGAGATGAGAAACTGACAGTATATATAAAGTGTAAAGATCATCTGATAACTCTTTACTCAATACAGTCATACTCTTGTTATTGGAATATAAGGATTTAAATCCTTTGTCTTTGGTAAGTTTTCTTATATCAACAAGTTACATTGCTCTCTCACATTCATTTAATTCAGTTCAATGAAATGTTTTACTTTCCTCATCTATTTATCATTTATCTTCATAGATACTTTATCAAAATATCACTTTATTATTGCTAGCAAATAAAATCATTACAACAGGCCTTTCACTCAATGCATTCGTCTATGCCAACCGCAATAAAACACAATGAAAGCTGTTGAGCATACGAAAGTCTAATTCGACTCTCAAATTTTCGACAAATTTCACAACTCTATCAACACTTTTATTCTACAACTAACACATTACGGAGAACAACAAATTAGATGCATGTATCCGGCGCATTCGTCATGTGGTCGCAAACTTTGATTGCGTCATTGAAGAAAGTAGTCGCTGGACATTGCATCACATATGCAATGTTATTTGCGCATTGAATAAACAAATGGCAATCAGTAGGATGCGGGAACAAACCGTCACGTTCTGGACATTCCTGACCTGGAATGGATTTCAATCCACTGTATGATTGATAACATTTTTGAGAAGGAAAATAATAAAGTCCTAACCGGAAATATCACAAATAATTCCAGAAAGTTCCAAGAAAATCAATAAATTAGTTGTACATTTTATTAAACAGCCATTTTCAATTAATCGATTTATATCCAAAACAACAACAAATCAGAAATCCTTGCGAAATGAAACCTGTAAATTGATATGTGTCCTGTCAAAAAAGCATAAGACTAATTAAGTACAGAAACTTATGTGACCAATGAAAGTACCATGACACTATCAAAAAGTATGGGAGAGCAAAATTTCCTCCTCAACTGAACACTCTGTCATGCGGTTAATAAGCGATTTATTGGACAGTATTCAATTACAAAATGAGCAACAAACAAATCCTTGAAAAGACAAACTTTTTAGGAATTCATATTTCTTCCTGCGTTAGTACAAAATTTCTATTAAGTGAACGAAATTTTCATTAATCTGAAATTAAGAACTTCAATTCTACATATTTCAGTCAGATTAAATAAAAAACAAAACACATAGACTGTTTATATATGTTTATACATTTACTGCTTATATCTTCAATTTCATTCAACTGATCGAAATCAATGAACTGTGAAGGATCAGACCGAAATTCTGAATCCAATAATGGTTCGAAATTGTTGTAACCGAGGATATCAAAGCTATTTGAGATGTCCGAAAAAGTATTAATTGTAACGGTTTCATACAGTGAAAAACATTGTGAAACAGAATTTTGTAAAATAAAAGAAATGCTCAAATGGAAGTTTTTTATTTTAGATTTGTTAAATTAAAGCTATCAAAGATTAAACAGTTTTTAATCTGCCCAGTTCGTACTGCTTATATTTTTTCTCTTAAATTTTTGCTTTCCTCTTTCCCAACTGGCAACTTATGAAAAACTTTTGAAGTTACTACAGTATCAGTCTACACTCTGTAAAGAAAAAAAAAGAAATTTATGCTGCAAAAACAAATTTAGAATTTCTTTCTTACTTCCCTGCTTCCTTGTGAAACAAAGTAGTTTTCCCTTTCTTGATAGATCAGATCATTGACTTCTTTGTCTTCGATACTGGTAGATTCTCGAATTTGTACTAATTCCGTTCTGTGTACGTGTACTGTGAGAGTCTTCGTGAAATACTTTATTATTGAAACCTCAAACTTAGGTAATTAAACACAGATAACATTAAATATTATACACATTACAATAATGAATTGATACCTAACACACAAATGTAACTGAATTTAATTATAAACCATTTAAAGATACAAGCAAGCTAGACACCTCGCAACCGAGTCATACCAAACAAGGAACTATAATGAATGGCTTTGTAGGAAAGAAATTGGGAGGGACTTTATGGATGCTAAGGTTACAAAGTAGATTAAAATCACTTAAAACAATAGTCTTTGTTCACTACGTTATAGTTTCGCCATTGTGGCGACAGATGCATTACTGTAATATATTACTAACTGCATCGCTACGGTATTGTTGTATATTACTGATAGATCACGATAATATCATTATAAATCACTATAATTACTTATTACATTTGCTGTTGGATGCGTCATTGTAGGGTTCTATTACTAACCTCATCACTATATTATCATTGTACTATCGTTTTACTTTACTAATTGCACCACTATATTGTCGTTGCGTATTACTTCTCTTAGTTAGTGTGTACTTATACTTTCTTTATCAATAATTTAAGTAGAACAGTTCGAGAATTCGAAGCTAATATCTCTGAATGCTAATTCCTTCTTTTTGTTATTTGTTTTAAATGGTAGTTTGAAACTATATTAAAGATTTAGTATAATTAGACTTTTTGAATATAAGCCTGGAACAGTTGTATTTCACTGGCTTTACTTCATGAAGAAAATGAAATAGCTTTCATGAAAATTCGCGCATTTAAATAAATATTTGAAGGCAAATTTTTAAAATGCCTTATTCTAAGCCGTTATTTAAAAACAAATTTAAATTAAAAAATATCAAATATTTATATCGTTGTATTTTTCATTTTAAATCACATATTTGCACTGATGCATATCATCAAGCTTAAAATATTTCAATTCCATTACAATCTAATTCATATAT